AATGATCAACATTGAACAAATTTGAAAAAAATGATGTTCGATTTAGAACAAAAAAATAAAGTGTCAAACTTTAAAAAAAATAGATTTAGTGTCAAAATCGAAAAAAGTGAAAACTTAGTGTTTTTTTGTAGGGAAAAAAATTCAATTTTGACCCGTCAGCATGTCATATCAACATGTTACATCATCAAAACTGATATGTCATCATACCACGACAACAAATAACTTGACTGGTCAAGTGTTCAAAATTGTAAAAAATTAAAAACCACAGTGTTAAATTAAAAAAAATATATATATTAAATTAAAGTTTTAATATAAACTTAATTTCTTTTATACTATTTACTTGTAATAAATAAGATGGCTTCTTAGAATATGTTCTAACAAATTGGTTTTCCAAAAAGTTTAATCATTGTGATTAGATAAAACAATCAATCATACACTCTTCAAAATCTACACCTACCCCTTTAAAAGGCACTTTAGGCTGACAACAACCCACAACAACCTACAATATCCCCGACTTCCCCAATCTCTTCAAAATTGACCCTTAACCCTTTTAAAATTGTTTTTTTTTTAAACTTAATTTTCATTCCCGAAAAATGATAAAAATATCTCAATATCCAACCAATGCAGTCACTCATCAAAAAATACATAATCCACAAAAAAAGAAAATAAAAAGGACCAAATCTCCAAATAGGATGGAGTGAGGATCGGGTTCTTAAGGTGGAGGTTATCAAAAATGAGTTGATGATTAAGGGTGGCGGTACTGATAGTACCGACGAGATAACGAGTCTGAATGAAAGGTGGTGCCTCATAGCAAAGTATATAACATGTTCCATGTATATCTCTTTCTAGACACACTTACACACACATTCTCTCTCTATGTTTATTTGTACATCATGCATAAAAACTTGTAGTATAATGTGTTAAATGTTTTTAATTTGTTTGCGAATTAGTTTTGTATGTTTTTAATATTTTGTATTTTTTTTTATATATTTTTAATAAGTTAGAAAAAATAAAATGAACGTGAGATAAGATAGCATATGTGGTCGTGACAAATAAATTGAAACCGCTGAATATCCTCCACCCTTATAATTTTATGGGTAAATTACACAGATGGTCCCTATGGTTTAGGGTGATCTGTGTGTTTGGTCTCTAACATCTTTTTTTAATTCGGATCGTCTCTATTTTATATTTTCATTGCACGTTTGGTCCCTATCACTTTTGAAAAGACTATTTTGCCTTTAGAACTATTTTTATTTTGTTAATTCTTTTTATTATTATTCCAGCTATTATTAAATAAATATAACAAAATCCAATTCTTATTGTAACCAAACATCAAGAGACCTCGGTTATTTGTTGGCTTCGTCCCCCCTACTTCCCTAATTTTCCCATCGTCAATCGACGAAGTATTACTACCGAGTTGAGATAAGAAACAAATCAGAAATCTTTAGTGACATTGTAACGTCCCCAAAATCACGACATAAATTTTTTTGATTTTAGATTAAAAATCATTAATACACAGCTTTCCCATAAAACCAAGGTAACAAATATTTAACGGAACATCATCAAATCAGAGTAATTCGCAGAATGCGGAAACATGATTTTTTGATAGAAGATTATTTAGAATAAATAATCTTAACCACATTATAGTATATGTCACAAGGGTTTCGTACATATAAAGAACGTTAAAATCCGAGTTACAACGAAGAAATTATGACTTGTTGAAGTTTTACGGCTAAACCGGCACGACACCGCTTTACGTAAAAAGTGAATTTTTGATAAATTACTTTTTAGCCTTATGGATCTAAACAAAAGTCATAGTATATGTTAAACCGAGAACGTACATAAAAAGAACGTCCAAATCTGACTTCGTATGAGGAATTTATGATATTTCTAAGATTTAGCCTAGCAGTGCACAGCCCGGAAATCGAATTTTAGATCGATCGATTTTTAACCGAAACAACCCCAATGAGAATTAAATATCTCATTAATAGGAGTTCAATGATAAAAAGACAATAGAAAACGGAGTTCGTATGTAGAAGTTATAAATTTTACACGGTCATTAACAGTGTAATCTTCTCATACTATTCAATTTAAAATTGGTCAAGAATTAGCTGATGGGGTCAAAAGGAAAGCTGTAAATCCCATCGCTACCTATGTGTGGATATAAAGAACGTAAAAAACAAATCTCGTATGCAAACGTTACAGATGTTAGAAGATGATTAGTTTTTGGAATAATCAGGAGGCGACACGTGGCGCGATCTGAGTCACTGCTTCCTCACCACTACTTGCCACCAGATGGTGACACGTGGGCACGAACGCCCAATGTTCAGCTAGGGAATGCCCAACATTCACGAATGCCCTGCGTTTGGCTCTTGAACTTCCTGCGTTCGCACCGAACTCAACCTATAAATAGAGGCGCAAATCTCCCATTTTCTTCACACCTCTCCACTTCTCTTCTCCCAATTACTCCCAAACCTTCTAAGCTTTTCTCTAACACCTACTAGGTGTTAGAAGTGAGTCCTGTAATGCCAAAAGGCTCCGAGAAAAAGATCTTTCAGCTCGGAAGTTTTTCCCCCGCAAAGCCCGGTTCCTAGCCAAACCTCCTAGTAAGTGAGTTATGCTTACCCTACTCTAAGTATAGCTTATGTTTAAGTTCAGTATGGTTATTATGAACTTATAAACAATAAAAATATTATAAAATATAATATACAGAGTGTTATTATAATATATTTTAATTACTTCCGATACGGGGAATCTGGTTTGAAGGGCATTGGATTTCAGAAGTGTTATAATGCCAAAATGGTCATGCCCTCTGTTGTTTCATGTCTGGCCCCTGTCTGTACATAGTGGTTGAAAAATATTGTTTAACACTTATAAAACGATGATATAGATGAACATTGGTAGCTGCACCACAACCTGTAGATGTTTTTGAACTATGATGTACTCTAAACATCCTAGTAGCTACGCCTAAAGGATAATATCGGCAGTTGCGCCTAATAGAGAACATCATAATCCTGGCAGTTGCGCCTAAATGATAATATCGGTAGCTGTGCCTAATAATCCTGGCATCTGCGCCTTAATGATAATATCGACAACGGCGCCTAATAGAGAACGTCATAATCCTAGCAGATGCACCTAAATGATAACATTAATAGTTGTGCTTAATAAATAACATTGATAGTTGTGTCATTGGCAGCGATGGACTTTGTGCCTATTCCTTAGGACAATCATTTGGAATGAATGAGTGAATGATAGATGATTCTTAGGGTAGATCTTTAAGAAATAAAGAAGATAATGGAGATGGGTAATTAGGTTAACTGTTTGATGATGAAACATAATAACTTTATTATTGTGGGTTGAAAACCCTATGTACTCACCAGGTTTCCCAATTTGACCTACTTAGTTTATTTGTATCACAAACATCGATACAAAGCTACATTATACTAAGAGATTAAAGGAGATGTAAATCACTGGTGTACATGAATGTAAGGTCTATTTATGCTTATGTATCTGTATTGACGATGACATCCCAATGTTTTAATATAAACAAAAATACATTTCTACATAAATGCTTTAATACCATCCTTATCATGTTTTCTGGAAACAAATTTCGCAATGTTATTCTTCAAAAATGATACTTTTATTTTTAAATAATCAAAAATAAAATTTTTAAAATGACTGTGCAATTGGGGATGTCACACCAACTTAGTCCAAAAATCAATTCTTCAAGGGTTAAAAGCCTGCTAATACCCAATTTCTAATCACCATCCCCAAAATGGGAAACGATTTGAAACATGGCGTTACAGACATGTGGAAATCAACTTTCAAACACCAATATTGTACATAAGCTTTAGAGTGTAGATTGATTTTCAGATTTCGAATCACAACTCAAATAATGTGTTGGATAGGGATCTGAAGAGAGAAGATAGGAAACTGACGAGTTTTTTTAGAGATGTTTCCGATGAGAAAAAAGGAATGATATGCTAGGATTTGGTTACTTGTGAAATTTCTATCCGCAAATTGATAAACCGGTAGAAGGGGCGATGTTTCAATTTCCCACGAGATTACAGAGTTCCTTCGACCGTGGGTTGTAGTGCAACATCGACGTCGGAAACCATTCAACCCCTCACAATCAGAGGTTTGTTCTTTTGCTACCGAATAAATGGGGGACGCTTTTGGGATATGGGAGTTGGTTGGATTTTAATTTCAGTTGCATCTTCTGATTTTGGATTTGCATCGTAGGTTGCATTTTTGTTTAAGATATGATTTTTCAGGTTTTTTATTGGGTTTTGGATTTGTGTTAGAGGTTGGTTTTAGATGTATTTTCATATTTATTGTTGAAGATTATGTAGCTTTGTGTTGAGTTTTGAATGATTTCTATAGTATTTAATCTATAGCCAGTGATGATGACCGATACATATGCTTAGGATGGATCTGTTATCAGAGATGGTAACCGGAAGTGGTGGAAGGAGCTATAAGAGGATTGATGTGGGGTGGATCATTTTTCTAATAATATATTAATATTTTAATTTATTTAATAATTAATAAATAATAAATTAACAAATAAATAAAAATTTAATTAAAAAAATAGATGATGGTAAATTAGTCTTTTTAGAGCAGATAGGAACCAAACGTACAACAAAATTATAAAATAAGGAGAGTCCAACTTTATATATATATATATATATATATATATATATATATATATATATATATATATATTAGAGACGAAACACGTAGATTATCCTAAACCATAGGGACCATTCGTGTAATTTACCCTAATTTTATATCATTGAAAATTATAACCGAGTAAAAGAAAATAAAAGATATTAAAAAAAAATTATAATTTTATATTTTTATAGAAACATGAACTAAATTACAAGATTCAAAAAACCACAAAGACACGAACTATTTTTTTTTTTCCCGAAAATTAGATTGAAAGTGCAAATTTAATCAAATAATATAACCATTTATGTAAATTAAAAAAATGCTCTCGTCATGGTGTTTGGGTACTCGTGAGGACAGATGATCGTACACGCATTTGAGATCTTCATTTTCCCCTTTTCTTGGAAAAAAAAAAAAGGTAAAAACCCTTCTCCATTGTAGTCAGCATCCTTCAACCAACCCACAACACAACTTCCAATGCCACATCGAACGATCTAGTCAAATAACCAATACCAATATCACCTCCAATTCACCTCTTTCGCAAAACTCGCATCTTTGAATCAAATCCAAGCAACCCATTTCAGGAAAAAGTCGACTTCTTATTACTTATTAGGGCATCTTATAGTTTCTCGAATTAGGAACAACTTCTTTTTGACTCTTCTGCTGGAAACTCAGCTCAGATGGACGAAGCAGACAACATTAAAAGAAGAAAAGATGGGAATTTGATCTGGATACCTGTAAATTGGATTAGAATGCTGAGCGATGAATTGAGCTGGAGATTTGTTCTAGCTGTCGTGATTGTGTACGGAATCAATCAGGGCACGAGCATTGGTCTGTATCGTGTGAGCGTACAATACTACATGAAAGATGTGCAGAAGCTACAACCTTCCGAAGCACAGTTTTACTCTGGGATTATTCAAATTCCATGGGTTATTAAGCCTCTTTGGGGTCTTATGACTGATATTGTTCCCATTTTCAGATTAAGAAGACGCCCTTACTTCATATTTGCCGGTATGTTCCACACTTCCAACACTTTTTCTATCTCAATTGCAAAATCAAACGAACTTGTGTTGAAAGTTAACATTTTTAGCAAGTTTTTGTATCAATTTGATGGATAGTTATCTATATCCTCAGGTTTAATCGGTTCCATGGCGATGCTAGTACCCGCATTTAGCACAAACTTGTCACTTGTATGGGCAATATTGTCTTTTATGACAGCAAGTGCAGGGGTTGCTATAGCAGATGTGACTATAGATGCGTGTGTGACAGAGAACAGCATAAGCCATCCTTCTCTTGCTGGCGACATGCAGAGCTTGTGTGGTATTAGCTCCTCTATTGGCCAGCTTGTTGGGTTTGCTTTAAGCGGTGTTCTTGTTCATATGATTGGACCTAAGGTCAGCATTACAAAAGATTTCATTTCACACCGGACATGAAATGACAAAACAGTCCAGTTTAATAAATGCGAACTTAATGGCTAATAATGTAATTTGGTTTGCAGGGTGTATTTGGTGTACTAAGTATCCCAGCCGGGCTTGTCATGTTGGTCGGGTTTATGTTGAAAGAGCCCTTGGTCAACAGTTATTCTCACAAACGGGTAGGTTTCTTTTGGTATTGTTTTTTTTATTGCTATGATTGAACCATTCTTTAATGATATGTAGGTTAGCCAAAAGTTTTTTGATGCTATTAAAACTATGGTGACAGCTCTAAAAAGCCCGGATGTTTGGCGACCTAGTTTGTATATGTATCTATCACTTGCATTGGGGGTGAGCATACATGAAGGAATGTTCTATTGGTACACCGATGCGAAGGCTGGCCCATCTTTCTCCCAGGTAAAGTCCCACTTTAGCTAGCTAAACACAGTTGCATCTGCCTCTATGTATGTCGGAGTCTCATCACTTTCCATAAGGGCTATTTTGGAGAGAAAATCTAAAACTCCACACATCTAATATGGTATCAACCTCTATGTATGTATATTGGAGTCTACACAGCATCCTTAATGACTCTTTTGACAAGTAAATCTAAGACTCCATATATCTAATATGGTATCTGAGCAATCTAAGACTTCACATATCTAATATGGTATCAGAGCAAGTCAGGTATCAAAGCAATCTAAGACTCCACATATCTAATATGGTATCAGAGCAAGTCAGATCACACCTCTATGTATGTTGGAGTCTTATTGGACCCTACATATATAACAGACACTATTTGATGCAGGAAGTGATCGGATCCATATTTTCCGTGGGTGCCATCGGTTCACTTTTGGGTGTTCTGCTATACCAAAATGTCTTCAGAAACTATCCCTTCCGCAGTGTACTATTTTGGACTCAACTCCTATTCGGTGCTTCAAGTCTTCTCGATTTAGCATTAGTATTACGTCTAAACCTAAAATTTGGTGTACCGGATTACATCTTTGTAGTAGTGGACGAAGCGGTTTCTAAAATGATCGCACGTCTCAAATGGATGCCACTTCTTGTTCTTAGTTCCAAATTATGCCCATCTGGAATCGAAGGCACTTTCTTTGCTTTGCTAATGTCAATCGATCATGTTGGAATGATGTCTTCTTCGTGGGCTGGAAGCATACTGCTTCATGCCCTAAATGTCACGAGAATTGAGTTTGATAATTTGTGGGTCGCGATATTGATTCGGAGTTTTGCAAGGCTTTTTCCAATTGCGCTTTTGTTTTTGATTCCTAGAAATGATCCGAATTCTTCAATTCTTCCATCTGAGTTGTTGAGGACAAAAAAGGGCGATGATGTATTGGAGTCTGAGAGTGAGGAAATGATGTCTCTGGTTAATAATGGTGTATGAGTTATGATTGAAGGTGGTTTTTGATCATGAATCGAAGTGGGAAATGAAGCAGGGGGTTATAGAATGCAATTTACTTCATGTACTCACATTAATATACTACTCTCACTTAGGAGATTTAAATCATTCTTACAAGCTTATAAAATCATATATTGCATCCATAGATTTGTAATAAAACAATTTAGAAGAATGTATGTATTAAAAAGATTAATATCATTGTAACAAACTAATAATATTTTCATAAATCACTATTGATTTTTTTTAAAAAAAATGTTATAAGTTAGCAACTTGAACCTAGGGTACACAAAATACCACTATTTAAATGGTAGTTTGTGAAAAAAAAAAAAACTTCGTTATTGGTTTATGACATTTTATAACAACAATTGTGTTACGCTAGAGGGAGTTGTGTCACTGAAATCGCACTATTTCCCATACCACATAAGCGTCACGTCATTTTTTACTTTCTTGCCACACCAAGGGAGTGGTGGCACATTTTTTTAGCTATTTTAATTAAAACTTCTTTTTTTAATTAAAAAAAATATAATTTTTCATTACATGAAAATTAAAAAAAAAAATTACATTAAAAATTCAAAAAACATTACATCGCATTACAAAAAAAAAAAAAAAACATGACATTAAAATAATCCTAAAAACTTAAAAAACACAAATAAAATAACTAAAGCAAACTACATAAAGTCATTATCCGAGAACTCGTCTTCGGAGTTATTCGGTGGATCCAAATTAAGGTTAATGTTTTGAACCCCGTAAATGTGTCCCACCAAGTCATTGCGAAGATTGTGAAATGTTTCAGTGCAACGTATCTCTGCTCTCCTATTCATATACTCTTCGCCACCAATTTTTATTGGTTGTGTCTCTGGTATGGTTTCTTCCTTGTCAAACGCACATATCGCTCTTCCTTCATCTTCAATAATCATGTTATGTAATATGAGACATGTATACATGATCGTTGGGTGACCATGATCACCTCAGGTAAATTGCCCATGATATGACGTAAGGCAATTGTTACATGCCCAATGGAGACAATTTAAGTTTCCTATCATTCCAGGAAACCCATGCACACTAGCATGAAGAGCTAGCAATTGCAAGATGTCATTACGTGTAGGCTTACATAAATTTTTTGGACCATAAAACTGAATCACAGTTTGACAAAAAAAGTGGAGTCTGTCTCGTGCGATCCTAGCAGACATCCTAAAACTTTCGTCTAACGCATCAAGCGGAATACCATATGCTAATTAACGAAGTGCGGCCATGCATTTTTGTAAGGGGGTGAAACCGGGTATACCTCTAGCATCGTAACGTTGTTGAAAAAAACTGCACTCCCTCATTACATCTTCAACTGTACGTTTGTATAAACATTTGAACATTCTGAAACCTCTACGAAAATAATACCCTTGGTAAATGGCATTCTCTTGAAAATAGTCTTACACCAAACGTTGGTTGGCTTCTTCCCGACTTCTATAAATATATCTTCGTGTTCTCCGTTGAGAACTTGCAGGTGCGTTATTGCATAAAGTATCGTATGTTTGTTCCGTCATTTGAGCACATGCAACAGCGGCATCAAAAATAGTCTGAAATTCTTCAGAAGATGACATTTTTTAGAGAGATTTGTGATTTTTTTTAAAAAGATTGAGAGAGAAGATGTTGTATTGTGGTTAAAAACAAATGAAGTGTATATGTATATATAGGAAAAAAACGCAAAAAGCATTCAACGGTCAAATATTAAACCAACCAATCACAGGCCACGGTACTCTACAACCGCAGTGTGGCCAAAACCGCACTAGACCGCAGTCTGGGGGCGGTGTGCGCGGTCCAGTTGGCACAAACCGCGGTCCCAGGCCGCGGCCACACCCTCCAGCCTTATGTAAAAAGTAGTTCCGCCATTTATGACATTAACCCTATTAAAAGTGCATTTTGTGTGAGGTTGTTTTTTCTTTTCAGTCGATTTTTTTTCATTAAATATAATAATATAATTCATTGAAATCGCCATAATCAAACACAACAAATCAACGAAATGAACATTTTATTGATAAATTTTACAAATCAAAAACCTCATTCTAAATCTAAACCTAACATAAAACTTTCCACACAACAAATCAATAAGATAAATTCTGAAAGCATTGGAACTTATCTGCTATCTCTAAGGTAACAATTTATGGAAGTTGCAACTAAAGAAACAAGAACATTTTGGGGGTTTCTCTAAGGCTATCAGAAGTGGTCACCACTTGACCACTCCAAAAGTGTTGAGACTCATTGCCACATTGCTTTCACTTCCCCACCATACACCTAGGAAATTGTCACCACCCCTCATCACTTTTCCATACTTTTACAATGTGTATTAATGTTTGTACATTTGATAGAGAGAGGGGGGAGAGGGAGAGAGAGAGAGAGAGAGAGAGAGAGAGTTTAGGCGTGGTCAAGCATAGAAAAAACCTCTGGAACCATACCACACCCCATAATGCCACCCAAGGGTGGTGTTCACATCCTTCACGCGTACCACACGCGACTCTAAAGTCGGTACTCCTAATAGCCTAAGTAGAATGGCGTAATGAGAGACCTAATCGTACGTGATATTAATGCCCCACTAGCTTGAGCATTTTGGGGTTTTCTATTACTAAAATGTCCAAATCCCACTACCATGAGATTCCTTTTCAAGGGTTGTTATGTCTAATCTTTCACCACATTTAAAAAACAAAGAAACCTTCCATATTTAATCCAATCATGAAACTTTCCAAGTTAAAACAAATACTTTTAAACACTTTCAAGTTAAGGTGGAAGATGAACATAAAGTCCCAACTCTCAATACCCTCCCTCAACCTAAACTTGAAAAGCATTTACTAAATTTAGTTAATCGCAAAGCAAAAACAAATGTTGAGAAGCTCCACGTGACCTTGCTAAAAGATCAACGACTTGTTGATAGGTATCAACTTTTAAAACCTTTACCACTCCCTATTATATTATATCCCTTCGTATGTCAATTTTAGTGTGTTTTGTTCGTGCATGAAAAACATGATTAGATAAATAAGTATAGTTAATCTGTTTTCTTAAAAAAAAACACATCAACATGCATGTCATATTGCGATAACCTATGTCCACCTGGCTCACAATTCCATGGATAGTTTCATTCGAGATCATGATGGAGGACATAACTTATGATCATCTAGTTTAGTGAATCACACATATAAGGCTTTTCCAGTATGCAGATAGGTAAGGCGGGCGAAGTGGATGGATGTCTTAGCAGTTGAAAGAGTTGCAACTGAAAACCGAAGTATTAATAGGAATATCGGTGGGTTGAATCCATTTCAATCCACAAGGTCATAACTTTTCTCTTGTAGGATTTACAGATAAGACCGAATCAGAAAGACTCGACTTATATATATATATATATATATATATTGTGTTATTGTATTACTATTGCAATTCTTACTAAAATGTCATCTTTGCACGTCTATTCCTCTAGGTTAGTTCAAGAATGTTCAACAATGTAATATTAATTTTAGTTTTATTCTAGGAATTAAAAAAACAAAATTATATATTTTTTTACAAGATGCATTCTTGAAAAAATGTCATTTAGGTTTAGGTATTTTAAAAAAAAGACACATTTTTTTTAGAATATACATATTTGTATAATTATTATACAAACATTCTTAAACTAACATGGATGAATCGAAGTGTAAATATGACATTCTGGTAATAATTGAAATAGTAACACAATAACATATTATCATTTCCATATATATATATATATATATATATATATATATATATATATATATATATATATATATATATATATATATATATATATATATATATATATATGTGGAGATGATCAAATGAGAACACCTAAAAGGTTGAGAACGCGAGAATAGTTTTGGACCAATCATTTTATAAGGGTATATTAGTAACTTTATATAAATATTAATTAATGATTTCCTAAAATCTAGGGATAATGATTTTAATTACCTAACAAAATTAATATTTCCTTTTAGTTAATGAAATATATATAAATGTTTTTTTTATGATTTTTCCCAAAAAAATATTTATGACAGTTTCAAAAAAATTACCTAAAAAAATTAATATTTCCTTTTATTTTAAATCTGAAAAGAAAATCTTAAAAGAATATTATTTTCTACTATTTCACGTTTTTGTTTTAAAAAAAAATGAACAGAAATCCGATCCCAAATCAATACACTTCCAATAAAAAAAATGAGAACACATCAAATTACAAATAATTCAATGCATTTTTCATAAACTGAAAATAAAAAATAGTGTAAAAATTATCATTTTTTCATAAAATGAATACCTCTAATCATAAATAAATATACTCATTCGCATGAATACATTACTATTCATAAATAAATACAATCATATAAATACGAATACATTGCAATTCACAAATGAATACACTGTTATTTATAAATTAATACACATTCTATCATAAATGAGTACACGTGCTATTCATAAATAAATACAACCATTCACACATAACTACAAGGTTATTTATAAATGAATACACGTGCTATTCATAAATAAATACAACCATTCATGCACCCCCTTCAAGAAATTATTACCAAAAAATTCGAAAATTAGGATTTTTTTTTTTCTTTGCCTCTGTTCTTCAGAAAAATTTTCCAATTGGTCCTCCCATTGCAACCATTCTACCTCCTGAACACTCAAGCAAAGATTAATACAAAGAAATCCAATTATATATCATCCAGTAAACCATATCACTAAATATACACACCAATTGGCTAACACAACCTTTTCATTTTGCCTTTTTACAAGTATTTATAATTTATTTTCAAACATGTATCTATAGAAGCTACAAGAAATCAAGGGTGATTCTATCATTTGTCATTATTTGTATTCTGCAGATTTACAAAGGAATTTCATTCGATTCCATTCCCTACCAATCAGATCTCAATTCAATTCTCATTTCTTCCAAAACTTAATATTTCAAATTTGGTTATCCACATGCTAAATATTAATGGTAGAGGGGTATAATCGTCATAAAAAAATAAATATTAACAATTGTTTGTTACAGACACACATGATGCTACCTGAGTACTTAATGCAAAAACCTACAGTCGATGAAGCCATAGACACATTAAAGAAATTCGGTGTCCCTGAAGACGAAATGGCCGCTTTAGATAGACAGCTGGCACCTGCCGCCCCCAAAACCACCACCACCACCATGGATTCCAACAACCGGAAGCTTGGATTTGTGAGTGGCGGTGTACAGTTGTTGGAAACCGCCTCTAGAATCCAAAACCAGGAAGAGATTGAGCTTCCGGAGAGTGATGATGAAGAAGATGATGATGGGAAGGTTGAGATCTCACAGAAAGATGTTCTAGAAGTTGTTTTTGGAGGACTTGTGAGAAAAAGGGATGGTGAAGAAGAAGAAGAACAAGTGAAAAAAGATAATGCAAATGGTGATGCTGGTAGTCAACAGTGGAGATATGAGAGGGAAGAGGCGGAAGTTTTTTTAGTCCTGGCTTCCATCAATTAGGGTTTAAAGGAAACGAGAGAGTGAGAGTGAGAGAGAGAGAGAGAGAGTGATTTTGGAGTTGATAAAAATAAGATAAAACCTAATGACTATAGTACCTTTTTAGGTAATTAGGAAGTTACAGTTTAATCCTATAACTTTCAGAATTTATATAAATGGCCCGATAATATTAACCTTTGATTTTAAAATTTAGAAGGCTTAGATCTATTCTCGCGTTCTCAACCTTTTAGGTGTTCTCATTTGATCCTACTCCTATATATATATATATATATATATATATATATATATATATATGGAAAGGATCCTATGGTATTGTGTTACTATTTCAATTATTACCAGAATGTCATATTTACACTTCGATTCATCCATGTTAGTTTAAGAATATATTCTTAAACTAACATGGATGAATCGAAGTGTAAATATGACATTCTGGTAATAATTGAAATAGTAACACAATAGCATATGATCATATATATATATATATATATATATATATATATATATATATATATATATATATATATGGAGAAGTTATATTGAGAACGTATGTTGAAAACGTGAGAATGATTGTGGAACAATCATTGTGTAAGTGCATTATAAGAAAATTACATTTTCATTTAATATAAATAATAAATAATAATCCTAATTATATGGTTTGTAACATCCATTTCCATTAATTTAGCTATATTTGTGACGCTCGTTTTTCTCGCTAAGCATTAATAAGATGATGTAATTGTTAGGGTCAACAAGTGTGACATGTTTGATGTAATGAAGGAAGAAATATTTGAGTATTATGTGATTTATGTTTAAATTATGTGCAATATACGTGCTTATAAAGATATAATATAATAGGAATAAAAAATGTGTCTAAAATAAAATAATAATTAGATATGATATCTCCGAAGAAAGTTGAAGTAGTCGTGAAAAGATTTCGTAAATATAAGGAATGCTCCAATCGAACTTATAACGAAGAAGTTATGACCCGTTGAAGTTTCACGATTAAACCTGCACGACTCTACATATCGTAAAAAGTAAATTTTAATAAATTACTTTTTATCCTAAGTTGTCTAAACGAAAGTTGTAGTAGTCGTTAAACCGAGAGTGTGCATATAGAGAACATCTAAATCCGACTTCATTAGAGGAAGTTATGATTTTTCGAAGATTCATCGTAATAGTATACAACTTAGAAATCGAATTTTAGATCGGTCGATAGTGGAAATCATTAAGAAAGCTCAGGAAGAAGCTTTGCAGAAAAATGACCGAAATGAAGAACGTTTAGGGAAAACATTGGTATTTGGTACAAATAGTTAAGGATTGAAGTTATTTCAAAACAGGATTCCGGTGCCTAAGATGGTAGGAATAATAGATCTTCTCATGGAAGAATCTCACAATGCCATGTAATCGACTCATCCTGGCAACATTAAGATGTATAGGGATCTGAAACCTTACTATTAGTGGCCGATGATGAAGCTCGATGTTGCAAAGTATGTGGCAGAGTGCCAGAATGTGTAACATATGCAAAAGTTAAAGCACAACATCAGAAACCGTATGGGAGTTTGGAGCCCTTTCCTGTACCCATGTGTAAATAAGAAGACATCACCATGGATTTTGTGACTAAACTACACTGGACGAAAAACAGTCACGACATGATTTGGGTAATCGTGGATCGATTCACAAAGATTGCACACATCATGAGAGATGGTTCATAGATAAGCTTGCAAATGCCTATGTGAAGGAGATAGTGAGACTTCACGATGTTTCCTTAACGATTGTGTCGGATCGTAACAACCGTTTTACATCAAAGTTTTGGAAGAGCCTACTAGAGGAAATGGGTACAAGGTTGTGTTTAAGTACAGTCTACCATACACAGAATGATGCTCAGAACGAAAGGAAAATTCAAACACTGGAAATATGTTAATAGCATGTACCCTAGAATTTCAAGGTAACCGGGATGATCATTTAACCCTAGTAGAGTTTTCCTACAACAGTAGTTACCATTCGAGCATTAAGATGACACTTTCTAAAGCCTTGAACGGACAGAAGTGTCGTATGCTGTCTTGTTGGTCTGAGGCAGGAGAAAAGCAATTTATGGCTCCTGAAATAGTCCACCAAACTACTGAAAAGCTAAAGGTAATTAGAGAAAGGATGTTAACAACTCAAGATCGACAAATGAGTTATGCTTACAAGAAGCAATGACCAATGACTTTCGAAGTTGGAGATTCGGTGTTGCTCAAAGTCCCATCGTGGAATGGACTCATAAGATTTAGAAAAAGAGGAAAGCTGAGTCCAAGGTTTATTGGACCATTCAAAATTCTTCAAAGCATTGGGAACCAAGCTTACAAGTTGGAATTACCAAAAGAACTAAACGATATTTATAACACTTTTCATGTGTATTATTTGAGAAAGTTCACAGGAGAAGTTCCTGATATAATTCCACTTTGGGAGTTAATGATTGATGAAGAGGTTAATCAAAGAGCCCCGAAGCGATTTTTGACCATAAGACGAAGAAATTACGACGCAAGATGGTAGAATTAATGTTAGTGCGATGGAAACATTCGAATGGGCCAAACCTCACCTGGGAGATAGAGAGTGACATGATGGGTCGCTATCCACATCGGTTTGCTGATGCATGATTCCGGGACGGAAGCATCCTAAGGGGGAGAGAATTATAATGTTTGTGTTTCTCGCTAAGCATTAATAAGATGATGTAATAGTTAGGGTCAACAACTGTAACTTATTTGATGTAATGAAGGAAGAAATATTTGAGTATTATGTTATTTATGTGTAAATTATGTGCAATAGACATGCTTATAACGATATAATAAAATATGAATCAAATGCACGTCTAAAATAAAATAATAATTAGACCTAATATCTTTGAACAAAGTTGAAGTAGTCATGACAATGATTTCAGAGATATAAGGAACATTCCAATCCAACTTATAACGAAGACGTTATGACCCGTTGAAGTTTCACGATTAAACTGACACGAGTCTGCATATCGTAAAAATTAAATTTTTGATCAATTACTTTTTAGCCTAAGCGGTCTAAAAAAATTCATAGTGTCATTAAACTAAGAGCGTGCATATAGAGAGCGTCCAAATATGAATTCATTAGAGGAAGTTATGATTTTTTGAAGATTCAACGTAACAATATACAACTCAGAAATTGAATTTTAGATTAGTCGATTATTAGCCAAAACAATATAAACCAGAATTAAATATCTCGTTAATAGGACCTCAACGATATAAAGTCAGTTGAAAACGAACATCGGATAACAAAATTATGAATTTTTAACGGATTTTAAGTGTCTACGTCTGTTAAAATATAACTTTAAAAATAAATTCAAAATTAGCCAACAGAGTTTAAATGAGAGTTGTATATCTCATTGATAACTACATGTGGATATAAAGAACATCAAAAACGGAGCTAATATGTGAAAGTTATGAATTTTACAAGATAATTAATTTCGGATTAACAATAGTGCAACACGTGTCGCGATCTGGCACACTCCCTTCCTCCCCGCGGCTTGCGATCAGATGGCGACATGTGGCACATTACACCTAGCGAAATGCTTATGTACTCCCAACATACCCATTACACCACAACGTATTTTGTAGTACGCCCAGGCCCTTGGCAGCCTATAAATAGAGGCCAAATTTCACCCATTTCTTCACACCTTTTCATTCCAATTTCCCCAAACCCCCAAGGTACCTAGGCCTTGTTCTAGAACTTCCTAAGGTTTAGTAGAAAAGATCCGAAGTTCCAGAAACCCCAAGAAATAGAGCTTTCGGTTTAGAAGTTCTGCTCCCATAAAGTCCGGTTTCTCGCAAAACCACATGTAAGTTGAGTTATGCTTACCGATTTTTAAGTATAGCTTAGTTTGAAGTTCATTATCGTTATTATAAATCTATAAACAAGATATATCAGTGATTCCAAGGCGTTATACTGATTAGTCTACATACGGGGATGATGAAAAAGCTAGATTTAGTGAGGTGTTTAAAGTGGGCTTTCCAAATAGTATACTATGCATTCTAAACAGAACCTACCTCCGATATGATGTTACCTAGTTGTCCCTTATCAGCTATAGATCAGTAGACTTTGAATTAATGATGAATGTAGGCTAATAATTAGTCGCAAGGAATATTAGACTAAGACATAGTGATAATGATACTAGGTTATGTCAAAGGAAAAGACTGTTGCTAGAAGTGAAGCTTTATCCGAGTTTCAAGTCATCACTATAACACATGAGTATCTATAAACAAGATATATCAGTGATTCTAAGTCGTTATACTGATTGGTCTACTTACGGGGATGATGACAAAGCTAGATTTAGTGAGGTGTTTAAAGTGGACTTTCCAAATAGTATACTATGTATGCTAAACGGAACCTACCTCCGATATGATGTTATCTGGTTGTCCCTTATTAGCTATAGATCAGTAGACTTTGAATTAATGACGAATCTAGGCTAATAATTAGTCGCAAAGAATATTAGACTAAGACTTAGTGATAATGATACTAGGTTACGTCAAAGGAAAATAATGTTGCTAGAAGCGAAGCTCTGTCCAAGTTTCAAGTCATCACTTTAACACGTGAGTGTATAGTTACTTTCATATTACACATAGATATGAAGTATTTAAGATAAAATACATGCTATATGTGTCTATTATATGTGTTCCTGATATCTATGTTGGATGAACGATTTATACATGTTTTACTTGATTTAAATTGTATATGTATTTTATACCTATAAATATGTTGGGTAAATATGTGTAGATGAAAGATGATATAGATGTAAGATGAGATAAATGATGAAATACCTTGACTTTAAATATGATCCAGTTGTCTAGCGGAGTATAAATGACGACCACAGACTATTCTGGACAGTCCAGTAGACCGCTAGTAGGCTCACAACTTGTAGGTGTTTTTGAACTAAGTGTTCACTAGGTGTACTCTAACCCCCCCCCCCACCACCACCACCACCACCACCACCACCATGGTTT